TTGAGATGCAAAAATTTATACAAGAGTTGAGTTTGGAATTTGTCTTGGAATCAATCGAAGTTATTAACAGAAATAGAGAGCAGGGTATACTTGATAACACTAAAAATGAAGCTATTGAACTGGCCCGTATATATCAAAATGCAAGAAAGGCTAAAAAGAATACTATCCATGCTAAGCAAGAAGAAATTTTAAGCTGGTATCATTATGCAAAAAGCTTTGAAAAGAGAGTTTATGATGTTTTATCTAATTGCAAAAATACTAAAAGAGCGGATGACTTAGCAAGAATTCAGGTTTATGATGAAATCTGGAATTGTCTTTCCAGCGTTTCATGTGAAAATTTCCGCAGACAAACTTAAAGAGCTTGTAAAATTTATAAGTTGTTTGACGGCATAGGAATAGAAAAGGTCAAACGAGTTAAATCTTATAGCGCAAATGGGATATCAAAACTCACTAACCCTCAAATCTAATATATTATAGATTATTTCAATGGATGTGAACTCTGCGTCCCCAGGATGCGCGGTCATATGACTGAAATTTCTGAAACTAATGATAAAATCTTGTCTAAAGAAAATACATCAAAAACTGAGATAAGCGTATCAACTACACCTATCTCATTGTCTCATACCTCTAATTTGGAAGACAAATCTTTACTGAAGACTAAGATAAGTGTATCGTCTAATCCAACTTATGATCGTACTTATTTTCGTAATAAAACACTAGAACAGTATCCTAATTTACCGCGAGTAAATGTTTAGTTTACGCTATCAAAATCTCGATCACCAATTTCTGTTCTACCTAAAGACCCGGAAGAAAGACAACAACACGTTATTAAAATGGTATTAGAGCGATTTCCTTATTTAACTTTGAAACATAGTTTTAAATATAGTAATTATTTTGATTTTAATAGATCTGTACTCTGTCCTATATGCAATAAAGACTATAAAAAAGAAAATATAAGAAATCATATAGAAAGTACTTGGGGTAGTGGCGAATATTGGGGTGTAAAAACTTATCATCTCTATTGTTATATAAATAAATATCAGAATTCAATCCCAATAGTAACTATAAGAGCATAGAGCCGCCTTCTCGTTCTTTGAACTCAAAGCCAGATTATAGATACTGTGTTAATTTATTTTCTGAAATATATAAACCGACCATGAGAGGCGAAGCCTCATTACTATGTAATATGAACAAAGTGAAGTGAATTGTCGGGAAAACTAGATATAACTTTATTATCACCACTAATTAATAATCGTAAATCGCATTACAAGAATCACGTAAAAAAATAAAAAATTGGGAGCGGACCCCCTTCTTTATTTAATAAAAAATTGCCAGGACGACAATGTAAAAATAAAATATATATATATCGCTGTTACAGATGTGAATACAAATAAAAATTATTTTTTTGGTGAGGAGAGTACATAAATATGAACACCATCAGAGGGACTATTAGGAAAGTCTTCAGAAATTCTACACATTGGTTTGATAACATAACTACCCGGGATAGAGAAAGACAGATTTTAGTAGAAGGAACGGAATCGAAAAAGGGTGCCAGGTGGTTTTTTACCATATCTTTGACCAATTTATACTTTTTATCTTTAGAAATCTCAATTGTAAAAATTTCGTCTTTGGAGTATGTTTTATTATCGTCATTAAGGAGGACACAGTTAAGGTTAATAATTGCCATTTTGGGGACTCTGCAAAAAATAAAAACCCATAGTTAATAGAAAGTAATGAAATAAAATCTCTTGTATAAACAATATATGATAACCGGACCTTGAAAGTAAATTGCGAATATGTAAAATTTTTTCAAAGACAACACGGCAAAATATATATATAAGAGCAACATTATTGCTATCTAACTTATCTTATGGGCGGGAACTTGCTTATTTTATACCGTTCATTTACTAGATCTAAAAAACCTGGCAGAAAAAAGTTACACGATTAGTAATTGCGGTAGGGTAATGCAATCTAGATCCCACCACGAAAAGCAAGTCTATTCGGTCATAAGTTCCAAATACTGAATCTATTTTGTCACTTTTCTGGTAAAATTAGCCCTCTTATAATCAATGATATCTCCTGTGATGAAAAAAAAGTTAACGATCTCGGAGATTGCGGAGATTTGAAGTCCTTGTAATATATGAATTTGGATAAAACTACTGATAAATAACGTTGTACTCTTCCCTCTTATAGCCCTTTTAAGCCCTATTCATCTCTTTTCTTATGTATAATAAAGCTTTTAGTCGTTATTTGTTTAGTAGCTATTAACAAAAATCGACTATGAGAAATGATTCTGCAGGAGTGTGACACTGCATAAAATTTAGACTACAACACTAAGATGCTGCAGAAATGTGGTACAAACCATTCAAGTTACTTGTATCATAAACTTTATTTTTTATGCGATATCTTTAATGCTATAATGGTAATAGGAAAAAATTCTACAGTAATACATAAATACTGAAGTACCGTACATACCATAATTTATACCGATTATTTTTTTAATATGGTTATATTTCATGGTATAAGGATGGTTTGCATCTAAAATAATGTACATATTTGTTTGCAGGCATTTCTTTTGAATATTTATTTTTATAGCAAATCCGAAATCACAATACATAAAATCGAATATTGGGTGAACATCTACGTGATGTTTAATACACGACTGAATCATTTAATGGATCAAAATTTGAATTATTTATTGCCGTTATACAATTATCATAGGATGTAGGAATATTTATAGCTTAGGAAAGCCACCTCTAAAAACAAATATGAGGCTAATCCTCTTCATTTATAGATTCCAGTACCCCCCCTATATTGGGCATACTTAAATCACTATCATTTTGTGATGCAGATAAATTAAGAGCCGAGGTAATATTTATCAACTCAGATGAAGATGAGTAAGTCACATTATTTAAATTTCCACTTGCATTATTCGTGTTATTACCCGAATCTCCACACACATCATTTACATTAGCTAAGCTATGTCCAACGGCACTATTTTCATTATCTCGATTACTATTCTCATCCCTTCTACTAGGAACTCTCCGGATGGGTGATGCAGATCGATTCCTTTGATTGGTGGTGGATTCACAGCGACTAGTACTTAGAATTGATGGACTTCGTAAGTTGGTGGTGGGGTACGGTTACGGCGACGTCTTCTGGTGGATGTGTTTGCATTATGCAATATGTCAAATGGAGTTTCTATATTCTCATATACAAGGCAATTTCATGAGTTATCTATATATTTACTACTACGGTGATAGATTGT